GTTTTCCTCCCAAATCTTCTGCAGTATGTTTGTCAGACCGTTCACCAGGACCTCGCCCCCTTCTTTGAAGAGCGCAAGGTGTGGACAATCCGGATCAGGTGCCTTGTGGCGCTTCAAGATTGAAACCCACGTTGGATTTCGGCTGCTGATGGTGGGTTGGTGACAATGTTTTATTTGGGCCCGCTTGGTTCTTCCAGCGGTTGTGTTGAAGGAGACCAGGTGAACTGTCCTTGGAAGTGGTCGGCCCACCGCTCAAGTCGACGATTGATGGGGTAAATTGATGTTCCGTCTTCTTCGCATGCTGTTTCATTGAAAGCTGACTTTTTTGGCCGGTTGAAGGAATAAGTTAAGACTAAGGTTGCGGCTGTTGCATGCAGCGAAAATCTTCTCCACCTCCTGGGCCTTCGAAAGCCTGCCTTTTTTCAAGCTCCTGATTATCTGGTGTTTGAGGGATCTGTGTGAGCTGGTATGACCTTTCTGGCAGCAATTAGATCTGCTGATCTCGATTATATCCAGCGTTCACTTAGACGAGTCAGATGACGTATACAAACAGTTCTGAAAGCTGATAGCATAGTTTCCTTAACACGTCTCTATTCAAATTTCAAGCAGTATTCATCGTCCACATGACTATTTCTAGCCAGATCAATTCGCCGCTCTTGATAACCAGGCCCGCACAAAGGCATGACCAGAGTTAAGTTCCGCACGCCAGAAGGAACGACTATCCTTAACGGAGATATTTCATCTGTAACTGATGGCCGTATGGTCCAACTGAGTCCACAACTATCTTGCGGTTGGCGGCCTCCAAGTAATTGGGTGCAACCGTTTGTGTTGGAAGTTCTTAATCGTCAGGAACAGACGATGATCTGCAAACAACTGGAGATGTCGCTACCCATTATCCATACGCTCAACATCGACTCGAAATCTACCATCTAACTGCGTTTCTTCCGGACTTAGTTGTCCAACTTGGGCAATCATATCACCCGCTATCTTTCCGACCGATGTAGTCATGATAGATCATGATAAAAATCCTTCTCAGTTTCAGAACTGTAGTCCGTTGAAGCGCATGCTGATACAACGAATAAACACCGTTTAACGCATCGAACTACATTGATCTTAATTGTGCCAGACAACCGTACAGCCCAAAGACAACTGTTTACTGAAACCAGTTCAGTAAGGTGCCTTCAGCAACTCCCACACCGTAAATACGAGCCATTGCGTCAGGATCACCGGATACCCGAACAGTGAAATGTGGAACATCTGAGCTCGCCCTAAGCGGCCTGAGGTGCACGACCTTAATGGGGTCTTGTGTGCGCGTTTCGAGGACACAACATATACCAACGGAAAGCAAGGTTTCAGCAATGGATGCCTGTTTCTCAATTCGACATAGGGTACGATCTTTAAGGGTTGCAACGTGGATCAGATATTTTGAGGTCAGTAAGTGGGTAATTAGGTTTATTTTTCTGGGCGAAGGTTTTGACACGGAACATTGGCTAGAGGACTGACAGATGAGTTGATTGCACTGGGTCGTTCGAGGGATGGGGAGGGTGTCATGACTATATAACCCATACATTTGCACAGCCCATTAACTCGTGATTCTCACTCTATTTTCAGCTCATGTACTATAGTTATTAGACGATTAAAGTGTACATTACGTCTTCCTATTCTGTCTCCTTTTTAATCCCGTCCTGGAACTACTCGACTCTCACAACAATTTAATCGTCTAATAAAAACGAAATGGATCATATTCTCCGACCTACGGTTTTTGATGCCGATCCTCACTCATCAGATGGCATGAAACGATGGACTCATTGGTTCCGTACTTTCAAAGCTTACATTAACTCAGTCAAACCCGAAGGTCTAAATAAATTGGAAACTCTCATTCGTCACATCGACCATACAGTGTATGACTTCATCGCAGAATGCAGCGACTACGATTCTGCGATAACCTTGCTGGAAAAACTTTACATCCGCCCGAAAAATATCGTGTATGCACGCCATCTTTTAGCCACATACAAACAAGAACCTGGTCAGGATGTCGACCAATTCGTTCAAAAACTGAAATCGCTTGCTAAAGACTGTGAATTCAAAGCAGTATCTGCTGTGGAACATACAAACGAAGCAGTTCGGGATGCTCTGATAACCGGATTGCAGTCGAATACCATTCGGGAGAAACTGCTAACGTGGCATGAATTGGACCTTGACAAAGCCCATGAAGCCGCGCGAGCTCTCGAACTTGCACAAAAACAGTCACAATCATACGTATACAGACAACCCGTTACTTGTTCGGTATCTACTCCTTTACCCATTGTTAATTCCGAAACAACAGTTTCGGCCGCTACACAACAAACATGTTACGTTTGTGGCAACCCCAAGCACCCTCGTTATAAGTCCCGCTAAAGAATCAGTGTGCACGAGTTGTGGAAAAATTGGACATTTTCAACGTGTCTGTAGGTCCAAAGCCTCGAAATATCACGCGGGTTCAGCTCAAGACTCCTCAATCTCCCCGCCTTGCTGTAGGGGGAGGCCAGTGAGCGAAGAGCTGCAATGGCGAATAATACTCCTCGGTTGCCCAACCCGAAGAAGCCAGTTCAGTTGAGGTACCCTACCTTGAGCCTTTGACTCAAAATTTGACCCAAAAGACAGTGGTAGGATGTAGGGCTTCGGTCGGGGACCCTGCCCCTAGCCTCTGTCTCAAAGGTCTAACCCACGAGGCGGCGATTCTTAGGGTTTTCTTGGGGAGACTCCCCGGAGTCAATAACTAAATAGTCTGATCCACTTGGCTGCATGTGGCCGGCCTGGCCCCAGAACGCAGGGGGGACGGCAATGCTCTCACGCAAGTGCACACAGCAGGTGCCTTTTGAGCAGCACCGGACTCTTTGATTTTAAAGTATGTTGGCAGCATCGAATAATGCACCGGCGATCACGGTCAACAATCAGGCAATCAGAGTGCGCGGACTCTTTATTTTAAAGTATGTTGGCAGCATCGAATAACGCACCAGCGATCACGGTCAACAATCAGGCAGAGTGTGTGGTTTTTAGGGCCGACTTTCTCTAACCTATCCTTCCTTCCTCCTTCGCCGCTCCCATAACTATGGACATGCTGGTCACGTGGGAGAAACGTCTTACCGCCTTCCCACTCCTATCACAGAGGATAGTATGATTTTACCTCCATAATATGATTACTCGCAGTACGGGTGCTTGCTCTTCTATATCGGGCTCGTCCCCATTAGCCTTCCTAGCATAGTTGAACCTCTAGGAACTGAGTTCCAGCCAGTATAAACCGCAGGATCATTGCAGCCAGGGAGCCCGACCACCACGATAAGGTGGCAGCTTTAGGTCTGGGGTCTTTTTCATCTCCGTCAACGGATGAACTATGGCTGTGCGGTGGTCGCCAACGGTTTTGGTCACTATTGTGTGGTGAATTCTGTGAGCAAATTGTCTTTGATACCATTATTCATCAGTGTGCTACCGTTCACTTACGCAAGATCACTTCAACATGGAGGAGTGGACTTCATTGGTTGATCAGGTGTGGATGGACGAAGTGCACCACGAATTTTGCTTGCGCACATCATGGGACTTCACCAAGTGAGTGTTCGAATACTGCATTTAGGATGCACTACTGAGTTAGCCGAGATGTTACCTCTACTTTTAGTGGGGGTCGGGTTCGTTTGTTGTTTCCCGAACTCCGTATTTTGCGCACCAGTGACATGTCAGCAGCCCTCAGGTTGTCCGTGGAAAGTTCATCATCAACTGTAAAATCGCACACGTGCAGTATAGTACAAAACTCTAGAGGCCAGTGAGCACTGGAATCGATTCGGATTGGATTATCGGCCTTATGAATAACCACTACGTAGTTAGATACCTTTCAATGGGTACAAGTGCAAAGCTGTCTTCTCAAGCAACCAAAATTAGATCTGATGCCTCAAAACACATCTTGTTAGCAATAGACCTGAGAATCATCCTATAACGCACCTAGCGTGTTCGACGTCTCCCAAAGTTTAAGTATCGATTGGATAGTTACTTTCTAAACGCTCATTTACCGAATTCAGGATCACTTACACTGGCCACCCGACCCACCAACGATATCCTAATAGCCCTGGAAACTGCTAATGTATTTCTAAAAAATACAATACTTCCCACAATATATCTGAGTATCAGTGTTCGTCCGTTTTATCGGATAAAGGACGGTTTCTGAAGGACCAATTCTGGACCAATGTCAAGTGTAAGACATGTTCTTATGGCTACGGGATTCAGCAGCTTTCGTTGGTGAAGAGAACCTAATACCCACATCATCAGCAATAATGTGGAAGCAGGGTGTGTAACATGGGATTATCATTTCCTGTCAAAATTTAAATTCGCTAGGGAGATCGTGAAGCGGTGCTCCAAAGAATCAATCGTCTCGGAGACTTGCGGTAGTGGGGTCGTGAACACTAACTGATTTGCGGACAGACAGCCGCCCACGTTGGCACTGTCGCACTGACGTAATCCACACGACAGGAATTCTCGGACGAGACTCTTGCATATACCTTCGTAACTGTTCCGCACCCACGTCGACTGGGAACCAGGTTGCAACTGCATAAGCCGCCAGGGTTGCATCTGAACAACCCGTGGTTAGTGACTGAAACAGTGGTTTCCGTCCACTCCGAAGAATGCTTTAGAGAGTCACTGGATCAGTACTTCAGCGGTCAAAGGTTCCACTCCTGTTTTTGCAACCAACTCCCTCCAGAGCAGTGACCACTGACGATCCTGCGACAACGTTCAGGAGTACTACCCGTTATAATTTCTATACTACAATGAACATCCATGAAGACATGAATCTCTTATGACAAGTTCTTAACAGTTGGTGGGCCAACAAATCGCTTTGCGACAAGCTGCAAAATTGTGGATTGGTTGTTTTGAAATTTACTGAAGGCGCCATGGCGCTTAATACACTGACAGTTTCTGCCTAAACAAAAAGGACTATAGGCGATTTTTTCGTTCCATTGACAAGAGTTACTCACCTTACAAAGGAGCCCGATGTTACTGTACTCGTGTGGAAGTATTGCACCCCACGGTAGGTTCCGTCGTGGCGCCCCCTGGAAGGATTGTCCCAATCCACACCTAGCCAAAAGCCAGCTGAACCTGGTAGTTCTCCGACGTAATGTATGGTGCCGAAGTGCTCATCATGGACAACGCGACGTCCAATGAGGCTCACATCTGGAGATTTTATTTCGCCGCATTCTGTGCCGTTCAGTACATTTGGAATGATCTTGGGGGGTTCATCATCTACACGAGATACCTCAGATTGAGTTAATGTACTCATGATAAACTAACCATGCGTCAGGGACAAGAAGGGTGCCTGGCAGTGGTTCCGGTACAATCTCGACTTCCTATTGGCCAACCAGAAGCAAGACGATTCAGCGGTTGACGGACCTCGGATACGTCTACTCGATATCAAGGTCAGAGCCAATAGTAACGGGTTCAATAAGGACGTATATGAGTGCAAATTCACAGGATCGTTAACTCGGTTTAGAAGGTGCTTTATCCTGGTCACAGTTCTGAGGCAGAGGAACATTTGCCAAAGCGTGGTGACTTAAACTTAACTTTCGATGTAAATAGTGATGTAGGACACCAGTCATAAGCTGATCGCAACGGATTTTCACAATACCTATAAAAGTTCTGCGCTTTTTGCAAACACTTGCACGCGTTACTTTCGCCCGACTGTGTTAGCGCTACCCGCCTGGATGTCTGAACAAGGTATTGGGAAACCTACCTGGGTAGGTGGCGTAATCTGTTTGCTTCCCTCTCATGAACTGCACATTCAGCAGCAGCGTATTCAGTTTCCTGGGTCCAGTTCACGGATTCACGGATTGATACACAGGATCGAGGCTTTTGCCCAAGTTTCCCGGGTCGGTTTTGTTCTCGTCGGTCAGTGGCTGTCGTTCACCTGAAAGACACAAGTGAAAAAAGGGTGTAGCACTGCTCTTTATGTTCTCAGCGCGGGGCAGTATGCTTGCCAGCCCGAGGATTCGCATAAATAAATGTCTAATAGTGCTTTAAACTGAGTTCTAGAAGGAGCGTGGACAACCGTCAAAGGAAGGTCATTCCACGCAGCTACTACCCGAAATGAAAAAAATTTTGTCTAATGAATGTGTGTGCCCTGAGCCACACTGCCTTCATCGACAATCAGCCAGCCACATTGCTTGCGGGTACCCTGCTTGATACCGGCAGCACTATCGGTAGCTGACATAGCAACCACCGCCAAACTTCGATTTCATTCTTGGTAGATTATATGCAAAATGTATGAAGTTCATATTCGAGATTGCTTTCCAAGAACTGACAAGATGGGTTAAGTTGGTGTGACACCTGCTTTAATCATGGATCTACAGAGTGGCAAACGGGATCGAAGCTTTCGACCAACATTCCAGGGTCGTGTTTGCTCTCGTTGTTCGACGGCTTCCGTTCACCGGAGAAGCACGATCGGCAAAGTGTGTAGCACCGTTCTTCAGGTTCTCGACTCTGGAGAGTAAGCTTGCCAGCGCAAGAACGTACATCAAAAGGTATCTGAAACAAACTTGAAGAGGGTTCCAGTTTGCAGCGTGAACAACCGTAGGAGCGGGTTATTCCTTACATCATACCCAAAATGAGAAAAACTTTTGGTCCAATGAATGTGCAGCTTTTGAGCCCGGAAATCTTACAACTTCCCCTCAGTGATTTGGCGGGGGTCAACGGTGAAGAACTTGCTGGGCAAACCTGGGTCAAACAGGGGGAAGGTTAGAAGTGGGTCTATCTGGTAACAACGATAATCCAGGAAAAAAGAGTGCAGGCACCTCGAAACGCGTTCTACAATCAACAGATTCATAGCAGGCAGCTGTTTTCGTAGCGGTTTGTGGGACGCGCTCAGTGAGGGTTAAGTCCTTCTTGCGCAATCTCATTGTGCGAATAGCCAGCGGCCAAGAACTGGCCTAGCATATTACCCATGAAGCATCGGGAATTCCACACCGGTAGCATTGGGGACGGTGCGTCAACCCATGCGTGGTACGTGCCTTTGGGCCAATTTTTCATGGTTTGAAGAGAGTCAAGTACCGAAATGTTTTCGATGTCTATCCTAGTAACGTCGTCCCCCACGCACAACACGGACGCCCCTCCGAATGACATATGGACGCACTTTTCGTCATTCAGAGAAAGGTGCCAGTCCAGTGAACAGTGCTCCGCAGCGTCAACAACAATTTGGAAGGAGTGGCGACTAAATTCTAGGATTTTAGTCATATGCTTGAAGCGAATTTGTGGTTTTGCTGATGCAGCTAGGAACTGGTCCCAAAACAGAGCCTTGCGTAACTCCAATGGAGGCAGGTGCCAAAAAGTGTAGGTATGAAATAACTCAAAACAAAGTGTTCTCTCCGGTAAAAACATCTTAATCAATCGCAGAATTTCTTCTTGAATCTCACAAGACTCGGCTTTATGAAACAGTGGGACGTACGGCAGTGGGTCGAAGTTCGGACTCGGTTGAGAAGGCGCAATTTCTGGGTTCGGATATGAGTCCTTCGCTCAGGCCAAGCTGTTCATGAATAAGAACCCGTTCGTCACGAATGAACGGTTCTGAGGGAGTTCGTGTTGCGCAGTGACCATGAGGTTATCTAAAATGGTGAGCTTTAGAGTGCATCCGATCACCTTGCTCGGTATGTTAGTGTTGTTAATAGGCCCGTAGTCGCCGGGCACTGAGCCGCCACTAGAGCTATCGGCCAGAAATCCCAAACCTCAAAAGTGGTTTTGAGCCTTCTGCCGTGCAGACTTCTCAGGAATGCGCATCTTCCTTGAACAAGTCACACTGGGACCAGCTCCGGTGGAATAACTATATA